CGTACAGTGAACGCCCTATGGGGCAAGAGCCGCGTCAGGAGTGCGCCGACTTGGGCTCGGCGTCGCCATGCAAACGCCCCCGCAGGGGGCCCAAATGGAGCTCCAGGAGGAGGAGGAGGAGAAGGAGGAGGAAGAGGAGGAGGAGGAGGAGGAGGAGGAGGAGGAGGAGGAGGAGCAGGAGAAGGAGGAGGAGGAGCTCTGGACCACGAAACGTGCGAGGGGCGCACCGAGCTAAGTGTGGTGCCGCCTTGCGGGCGCCATCATGGGGAGCCGCAACTGGCACTCCCTATGGGAGCCGGAATCGTGTGAGGCTTGTGCGTGTGTGTCTGTGTGTGTGTGTGTGTGTGTGTAAAAGAAACTGGCAGGTTGTGCGATCAAATGTTTATTCATGCGCCCGTTTCCAGCGTTGAAGTAGTGGGTGCGGCTGATGACGCAACCTCTTTGGTACGCTGCGGTTGGCGTTGTCACGCGTCGTTGACTACCTCACCGATCATGGCGGTCGCTTTGCGGTGCTGGTCCATTGGTCAACACCCTGACAATCTGCCTCGCAGAGTCGCTGGGTTGGTCACAACACCAATCTGCCTATCAGCATTCACTCTTTGTGCTTCACTGTCTAACGCCGCTCTGGTGATTCAGCGGCCGAAATTCACCTCAGGCTGTCGCGCTTGAGTTCACTTTGGGTTGAGTGCTCTCCTCGTTTTATGTCCGCTGTATGTTTCGTTTGGACTTCCCCTAACACACCCATCGCTTGCATGTTGCAGTGTGCGACGCCCGTACGCTGCGCTATCGACAATACTCGGTCGCAACTAACACTTTCATCTGCTGCTAGCGCCTGAGCCTCTGCGCCGATGAATTAAAGCTGTGTGTGCGTGTGTGTGTGTGTGTGTTTGTGTGTGTGTGTCTGTGTGTGTGTGTCCGTTTTCCTCCTCCTTCCAGGTCGTCCCCACCGCGGGGGTGTGTATCCTTCTGTTTGAACGTCGGCGTTTCCTGTCGGCGGGTTCGCTTTGCTCGTCATCTCTTTTTCTTTGTCGCCGCTTGATCGGAATGGTGCGACCTCTCCGGTGATGCGTTCAATCTCTCCTGGGCTTTGGTTACCCCGCTTGCTGTTTTTGCTCTTCCCGCCTCGCCGGTAGCCCTTCGCGGCTCTGGCTGTGGGGGGGCTGCTGTTGTAACCCTGGCGTCGGCACTGCACGCTAGGCCATGCTCGCTCCTGTCCTCTAACCATGCGTTGCCGCGTCTCGCGCTGGCTGCTCGCACTCGCCCGCGTTCAGCTCTGGATTTATCGTTTAAGCTTACGCCAGCCTCGGCCGCGTAGGACCTCATCACGCCGACCATGCTCCCTGTGACACGGTCGCTCTTTTTGTTACTTGCTCGCTGCAAGGGCGATGGCGGGTCTCTGTCGCGTTGCTCCTCGCACGCACCGCCACCGTATTGGCTGGTCTGGCAATCTTGCAATTTCTTTTCTTTGCTGTCTCCTTAAGGCTTCAATTCGCACCAAACTACTGCCTTCGCTTCATACTACCCGCATCGAGCTTATGTTCCGCGTTCGACTGAGTTCGTTCGCAATTGGCACCTCCACCTGCCGACCACGCCTGAAATCCCTCTGCGCCGCCGACTTACAAGTGTGTGTCCGTTCTTCTGCCTTGGCCCTCCCAGGGCGTCAATGCCTTATCAATGTTAGCCCTTGGGCCGCCTGCCCAAGATCGTTTCCCTCCTCTGTCTGCTGGTTGACCCGTGCTCCCGCGCTGGACCGGGCCTCTACCGTGGGTGTGGCTGCCGTTGCCGCTTCCCTGTTGTGCCGGTTGGGCACTGTCGTACTCCTCCGTCTTCCCCCTCCCCTCCTTCCCCCCGTCCCTCTTTCCCCCGCCTGTCCACTCACGGCTGCCCCCCCCCCCCGTGAGTGTCGCTGTTGATACACCAGGGGTGGCTCCAACCTATCCCCGCCGCGTGAGCCGGGCTGGTGCGCGCGCTTCTTCGACCCTTTCAACGCCGCACCGCCGCAAGCGTGGCCGCGCCGCCGGACCTGCTGCCATGTCCGACGCCGTACTCGACGCCGCCCCGAGCTCAGCACCCGTCTCCTTTCCCGACGCCCCCCCGACGCCACACCAGACGGCGTCTCTGGCCACCCTCCCGCTCCACTCCCCGACGGCCTCCCGAAGGCCACCTCGACGGATTTCCTGGCGACCCAGCCGATGGCATGCTAGCCGCCGTTCCCGTCGGCGTGCCCGACGCCACTCCCGACGCCCCTCCCGAATCCGTAACCGAGCCCGTTCCCGACGGCCTCCTCGGCCCCTCTCTCGACCTCCTGCCCGTCGGCACTTCCGACAGCCTGGCTCTCGACCTTCCCGACGCAGCTCTTGACGGTCGCCCCGGCCACCATCCCGCTCCCCCTGCCGACGGAATCCCTCCGGACGGGCCATCCGACAGACGTCTCGGCGACCTGCCCTGCGCCGTCACCCCTGCTCCATCTCCCTCGGTGGAGCGTCGCGTCGCGTCGCGTCGCGTCGGGCCGCCGTGTCGCCTCGCCTCGCCTCAGCCTGGAACGGGGGTGCGTCGCGTCGCGTCTGGCTTTTTCCTCTCTGGCCTCGCCTCGCCTGGCTCGGGGGTGCGGCCTGTCCCGTCGCGCCGCGTCGGGCCGCCGCCTCTCGCGTCGCCTCCCCTCACCTCGCCTGTCTCGGAAGTGCGTCGCGTCGCGTCGGGCTGCCGCTCCTCCCCTCACTTCGCTTGGCTCGGATGTGCGCCCCGCCACCTGGCAGAGCCCATAGAGGCTCGCGGGCACAGGATCCGACGTCACCAGGGCTGGGCGCTGGCGCTCCGCCGTTCCAGGCGCCAGCGGGAGGGTGCAGCGGTGCAGCTCAGGACCACGTCCGACAGATGGCCCGCAGAATGCGACAAGTCTCTAGCGAGGGTCACACGGCGGTTGCTGGCGGCAGTATGGTGACATGAACACAGTCGTTATGGAGCGCTGGCGCGCCAGGTCTGCCAGGCCGCGCTGGGAATGGCGGCTGTGGGCCTTGGACATTTGCTCGATGCTTGCTCCCCGCTGCAGGGGCTACAAGGGTCGTGCTGCGGGCAGCGGCGGGCGGGCGGGAGCAGGTGGTCGTGAAGTGACACGCTAGACGTGGGGGAGCCGGCTCTCTTGGGGCCCACTTGGGGCGAGGCAAGTGTAGCTGGGCAGGCCTGGCTGCGCGGACATGGGTGCGGCACGCGCCTGGCGCGGCAATGTTCGTCGTATAGGCACGAAGGCTTGGGTCTCCAGGGAGGACGACCGGTCCGCATCCCTGTCGCGCTGGCCCGTAAGCCCACGGGCGGAGTGCGAACGTGACAGTTTCCGCGGCCCGAAAGCCAACCCCTCTATCACAGCCTTACGGGATCACAGCCTGGCCCCCCTCCCGACCCCCTGCCCGTCGGCCCTTCCGACGGCCCGCCTCTCAGCATTCCCGACGCAGCTCTTGACGGTCGCCCTGGCCATCCGCCTGCCATCGCTGCCGACGGAATCCCTCTGGATGGCCCGCGCGACAGACGTCTCGGCGACCTGTCCTGCGCCCTTCCCGTCGCCCTGTCCGCGACGCTGGACACGACGCCGCATCTGACTCCCTGATCGACGCCGCTCCCGGCGCTGTTCCACCGCCGCCTGCCGCCTGCTGCCCGCCGCCGCCCGCGGGGCCCCTCCCGCTGGTGCCCGTCTGGCGCCACTGCCCGCTGCTCCCCGCCACTGCCCTGTGAGGTCCCTGGTTTCTTGCCTTGTCACTTCCGGCTCCCAGGGCGTCCCTGGGTGCCTCACTTAGCCCGGCGTTACTTCGCTTCCCTGGGCGTGCGACTTTGAGCGCTCGTGTGACTTCCCGCCCCAGCTGCGTGCGACCAAAAAGTGTGTGTGTGTGTCTGTGTGTGTATATGTGTGTGTGTGTGTGCGCGCGCAACTGCCGAGTAACAAAATCACAACAACAGATCGCGACTAAAAATGCTGATTTAACGTGAACGCAGGAGGAACACTATGTTTTTCTTGACTGTGTGGGCCTTTGATTCACTCAATCGCTCACCCACTTTTTGAACAAGTGCCGTATCACATTGCGACCAACGAGCAACATATCGTTCATGTATTTTACACATGTGAACTTTTGCGCCTGTGTGTATAAATAGCGTCGAAGCACATATGCTATGTAAACGGTCATTTAAAACGTACGACACAACTGATGTCTACGAGAAACGGATGCCGTGTTCTTATATATATATATAGCCTTACACGTACGCACATGCGTATTTACATACGATACGAAATTACTTTTCATAGGTGCATCTTCGGAATAACAAAAGTGTGCATCCAACAACCGATTTCGTAAATGCTTTCTTGATCTCGCTCGTAGCCGGATCCATTCTCATGTCCTCATGGCGGACTGACAAGTCGTGTTTGTTGTTCAATCTTGCCGCGCTGTCCTGCCTGAGCTTCACAAGCCGATGTATCTGCAAAAAACCCAACATTGCAAATCGGAATGCCAGCGAGTCAATCATCCAACTATTCCGGTGCCAATGCGGCTGGTAACATGCGTTCGGTGCCTAACCAAGTCGTGTTCGGATGTGGACGTGGCCCGAGAGGCCAAGCACGCAGCATGGACGGAACGCAGCCGCAGCCAACCTTCTGTGCTCGACGAGTGCCAGCAGGCGGGCACACGACATCCATCTTCAAACGGATCGACAAATATTGCTTTAGCCATGCCCCCCTTCATTCTCCGCCTCTTCGTTCTTCTCTCCCAATCCTCCTGCTCCACAACCCATCAGCCTCCCCTCCCCCGTGTTCCCCCACTTCATCCTCTACCTCCCAGTCCGCTCGCGCTCGCCCTCACAATACCACGAATAACGTCATAGGAAGAGGGGGAAGATGATGCCACACAGTACGAGTAAAGAGCAGGGCGCGTTGCGACAACGACAGCAGAAGGAGTAACAAAAGAAAGAATAGGCGAGAGAAATAATAATAATAATACAGAAACAACGAATCAACATACCTCGTCTCCACGGGTACGTCCGGCTCGATGATGTCCCAAACTGGCCTGGTGGCAACTGCGAAAGATCACAATTGCAATTCCCCTCCCAGCCTCCCGCGCGACTGCAAGTCGCACCATCGTAGCTCGTAAAACGGGGCGGGCACAAAGAAGGCGGTTCTCGAGTTTTTTGAAAATGTATGTGTTGAATGCCACGTTCGCAGATAGGAGCGAACACTCTGAACATGTTAGTTGAAATCTCATTCCTACAAACAAATTCTGGTGAATCCCCCTCCAATGGCGATTGTGCTTTTCAATTGAAGTGCTCCTCCCGGGGCTCACACATTTTTGTTTGGGGACGAAGGAAAATCTGATGTCACCAAACTGCGCCCTTGGCCCCTGAGTTGTAACAACAACGGCTCCCACCTGATACTTCCTCACAGTAACTTCCTTACAAATTGTGCAAGAATCGCGCTCTCGCGTGTGACTTCCTCGGAATTCATTCAGACGCCGTTCCAAGAGGGCTCCCAAAGGGGCTCCCGTCGGCCCCAAGACAGCCCAACTGGGCCCCCAGACCGCCTCAGAATAACCCGAAGGGGCCACCAATGTTGCTTTGAGGGGCCAAGACGGCCCCAGAGGGCCTTAAAACGGCTTGAAAACAGCCTGAAGAGACCCCGAAAAGGGCCCACTCGGGACGCTGCTTTATTACGGCGACGGTGACATTGTATACATACATATATGTATACATGTGTCTCTATCTCTCTATATATATGTATTTATCTCGATATATGCATGTATACATGTGGCTATAATTTGTTATCATATCGTGTTGGAACAAGTCCATTCTATACGACTATATTTTCTGACGCGCTAGTATATTCTATTTCACGGTCGTATACTATATCCAGTTATAGCATGCCGTGTTTTATTCCATGTATTAGACTAGCATGCTTCATTCCAGCATTTTTTACTTCGGTATATTCTGAAATATTTATATTTTATGTTGTATTGTATTATGATATACAATGTCGTCGTGTACCATTCCGTATGGTATTATATCACAGTCTACTGTTTAGTACATTACATACTATGATATATTAAGCAATGCCGTATTGGAACTAACTCTGCGACTTAATCTTGTATCATATCGCACCATGCCAAATTACATCATACAAAATCATATCATCTATTCAGCCTTATTGTATCACACATATACTGGTGCACCACGTTATTTCATACCATGTGGTACTATGCTGTAGCATCTACTATTCTATCTACGGTATCGTGTATTATATCACGTTCTGATATTTTGTATTTTATTGTACTTGAATACGTTCTGTTGTGTTATGTTATGATAGAAGGTGTTGTGCTCGAGTGTACGATGTAGTGCTACATTATGATGTGATATATTACAGTTAACAAGCTATATTACCACACGATCTACTGAATGATATTGCAACATACTGTGTTACACTATGATGTATATTATTCTTCGTTCCTATGTCATATACTACCAAATGACACTATATCGTAGCAGATCGTATTGTCTATACACGCCAACGCGCTTGCAACGTTCGGAATGTGTCGGGCCTTCTTTATGGGCCACCAACGATTGATGTTTCCCCCCTCGTTCTGCCTCGCTCTGGGCTCCCCTTTCTCCTGTTGGGCTCGCTCGTGGCTCCCTTTTGGCTCCCGTTTGACTCGCTCTCGGCTCCGTAATAGCTCCTTCTTGGCTCACTTTGGGATCCTTCTGGGCCTCTTCTTGGATTAATTTTGGTTGCCTCTTGGTTGCCTTTTGGCTCCCTCTTGGCTCTGTTTTGGCTCCCTCGGGGCCCCCTCATGGTTGCCGTATGGCTCCCTCGCTGCTCCCCTTTGGCTCCCTCTTGGCACCCTCTTGCCGTACTAGCTCCGTCGTGCCTCTCTTTTGGCTCCCTTTCGGCTCAGTCTTGGCTCCCTCTTGGTTGCCTTTTGGCTCCCTCGTTGCTCCCCTTTGGCTTTCTCTTGGCGCCCTTTCGGTTCCATCCAGGTTCACTCTTGGCTCTCCATTCGGGTTCCCTTTTGGCCCCTTTCGGCTCGCTCTTGGATTCCTCTTGGCATCCTATAGGCTCCCTTATCGATCTCATTTTTGGTTCCCTCTGGGCTCCCTTCCGACCCTCTTCAACTCCCTGGGATAACCAGAGCCCTGGCGGCTCCCCTCGGACTGAAAGGTTGAGAGAATGAAACATTGCAAACGACTCCAATGTTGCAATCTTTCATATCAAGATTCTCCAGATCCAAAAACCTTTCAATCCCCCTATATTTCAATCGCCCCTCTTGGATTGGGACGTCTTTCAATCTTTTCATATCTCAACCCGGGCCATCGGATTGAAAGACCTTTCATTTCAATCCAGGACCCAAGGAATGAAAGATCTTCCAATCTTTCATTCTTTCAATCCCTTCCCACCGAACTAAAAACTTTCAACCTTTACATTCTTTCAATCAACCTTTCAAACCCGCTCCGGGCCCGTCTGCGAACAGCAAACTAATGATGCGGCTCAAGCGTGTGTGGGCTGGACGCGCACGCGGGGGTGAAAAGTGGCGCCGGTATGTCCTGACGGGCGTCAGCGAAGCCTCTGCGCGCGATTATCTCCAGGCTACCGTGCGGCCTGGAAATGGGGGTCGGCAGCTCAAGACACGACGGGGTGGGGTAAGAGCTCGGGACAAATAGTCCTTCGACGCGCGTGATGAGGACCTTCGTTAATGTGTAAGCGGTCGTGGCAAAGCCTCAGCAGGGAATTATCGCGGAGGATTTGTAGATGGGTGGGGGGGGGCAAAGGAGCACCCCCCGAACGCAAAGCAGTAAACGCGGCCGCCCCCCATCGGAAATGAGCCCGTCCCACGCTCCCCCCGACCGCCCGTCCAGCTGACGCCTACCATTCCGCAGGTCTCGTCGAACATGCTGTTTAAAGGAGGGAAGGGGGGTGCCTCTAAGCGCTTTGCGCCCGTGCTCCCCTGAGCACTCTCCTTCACCGGGCGTTGGTTCCCAAGCTGGGGGATGCTGCCCTTGGGGAAAGCACGGGTCTGCCGGGTCAGCAGGCAACGTTCCCTGTGGGCCCCTGGTGCCCCGATGAGGTCCTACACCCACTGAAAAGACAGGAGAAGAATAGGTACCTGACGCGACCCCAGGAGGAAGGACTCTGCCTGGCAATTGAACACTGTGACCTGCGGGGTGTATGTAAGTCACCGAGGCCACCGTACAACAAACGCGGACGTTTTAATGAGGTGGTCTTGCTAGTCGGTGAAGTAATCCTGGGCCTTCCACCTCCTTCCCCCTCCTCCCACTCAATGCATCGTCTTCCTCCGTCCGCCTCTGGTTCCTCCTCGTGCTCCTCCGTCCCTCATCCTTTTGGTTGCTCCTTCTCCCTCTCCCTCGTACGGAAAATTACCGGCACCGTTCCTTGTGCGAATCTCTCTCCCCTTCGCACTCTTCCTCCTACTCCTGCTCCTGCTCCTGCTGCTGCTCCTCCTCCTTCTGCCCCCTCCTCGTTTTCGGAACGCCTCCCCACTTCTACGCATCATTCTCGGCATCTGCGTCGGTACGCAGAGGCGGCCAAGGAGGCCGCAGGGCCCTCCGCAGAAGCCCATCGGAAGCGACAAGGCGAGATATCCCAAAACTAGCGGTGACCCTTTGCTTTTGCAGGCCTCTTGGGGCCCTCTCGGGAACCTATGGGGGCCTCCTGGCCTTCTTCGCGGGCTACCTTAGGCCGCTCTTTGCCCGTCGGACGCCTTCGGAAGCCGTTTGGGGCGACTCTGTAGATCTCTTGGGCCGTCTTGGAGGGCTGTGGAGCGCTGTTGGGGCCGTCTTGGGGCCCTCCAGGGCCCCTGTTGGGGCGCTCTTGGGCAATCAGGGAGTTATCCAGGAGCCTCATAAACACTTTGGAAGCGAAAAGGCTGGACCTTCAAAAGCCAGTGGTTTTAGCATGATTCTCAAACGATGTTAGCCTCTTGGGGCTCTCTACAAAGCCTCTCGGAACATTCTGGAGGGCTCTGGGAACCTCTTCGGTGCGTTTAGTCAGCCTCTTGGGGACTACTGGGGCCGTCTAGGGGCCATCCTGAACCGTCTTGGTGGCCTCTTGGGCTGGTGTCCTCCCATACGTTGCCCTGGTCACGGTTCTGGGGCCCGAGCCGACGTCCTCCGGTGTATATACACATGTATACATGTATATCTGCATATATGTATGTATGTATGTATGTATGTATGTATGTATGTATGTATGTATGTATGTATGTATGTATGTATGTATGTATGTATGTATGTATGTATATATATGTATGTATATATAATATGTTATATATATGCAAGTGTGTGTATCTGTATACATATGTGAAGATAATGTGGGGCGTCTGGGGCCCCTCACCCTGGACCTCGGCACCCCTGTCTGCCCGGTACCGTGCGTCCTCCCTCTTTTCGATTTGAGTCGGGCGCAGAGAGACTTGGAAAAACCTGAAGTGTTCTGAAGAACCTGCTTCTCCTCCTTCCTCCTCCTTCCTCTTCCTCATCATCACACAGCTTGTTTGAACTTGGAATTTAAAAAATACCAATTACGCGGATTGAGCCGAGACCTAAGGCATCGAAGGAAGGCAAGTTTCACAAAGCGTCCTCTCACCAATTCTGACGCGGCCCTCGCACGGGTCGTACCCCCGGGTCAGCTACACTTTCGGATCCGTGGACACAGCTTGCATGTCGCTTTAAACGCGTTGTTTTCAGCATATATCTTTGTCTTTCCTCTTTCTTTTTGATTATTTCTTCCCTCTTCTTCGAAACATGTTTCGAACGCAATGTTTTGCTAGACACAATGTTCTGACCGCGCTGTTTTTGACGCAGTTTTTGTTGCCCCGCAATGTTTTGAACGCAGTGCTAATCATGTTGTGATGTTTTTTGGTGTGGACGCATTATACATACACATGAACATTTCCCTGTGATGTAGCCAACCCATTCGCATCCAGTGGCAAGAGGATGCGGTCCAACTTTGCCAGGACAATGACACTGCAGGCATCGTTATATGTTGCGCAAGCTTCCTGGGATGCAC